TGAGTTGCTGCTGTTAAAAGGATGCACGTCCACACTCATATGCGCATACACGTTCCGACAGGATGGATACACAAGGGAACTGGTGACACTCAGTGCCTTCGGGACCTCGGGATCAGGAGAAGAGGAAGACTTTAACTTTCCTTCTATAGCTTGCTGTCTGCTTTGAAATTTGGGCTACATACTAGTAACAGCAGTAGTGATAATCACGTTAAAAGCAACAGCTCTGCACGGAACACTTACGATGTTCTCGGTATCTTCCTGTGTTAACTCATTTTATGCTCCCTGTGAGGGAGGTACTGTCATTATCCTCATTTCACTGATGTAGAGATGGAGACTCAGGAAGTTTGAGCCACTCGTCCAAAGGCACACACGTAGGAAGTGGCTGAGCTGGGACTGGAATCCAGGATGTCAGGTCCCAGGCTCTCAACACCTTGTGCATTATTTAAAAACTTCTTGAAAATTGGTTGAACCTATTTTTTTGAAGTTACACCTTTGGGTTTAGGAACTAGGACCAGAGGCTCCCTGTTTAAGGCAACTCTCTGACCCCAGAGAGATCTGAGATTTATAGACATTCTCCCTCCTCCTTACAGGTCTCTATTCCAGGTCCTGAGCTGTGAGCTGGCCAGAGCTAGAAGGGAACTCAGTGACTTCCACCCCATTTTACAGATGAGGAAACTGAGGACCAGAGAAGTGACTTCTCCAAGGCTATTCAACCACCACACGGTTGAGGGGAACATGCAAGTTCACTTGTCTTGATGGTGTGGAAAGAGATGAAAGGGAAGGGAACAGAACACCCGAAGGGTGGAGGGAGAGGGTGTTCCTCAACCCCTGCACCCACCAAGTGGCCCCCAGGCCAGACCCCACCTGCTGCTGCTCACCCTGGGTGGACTGCTCTCCTGCCTGGGTGTGCCGCACCTGGGCAAACAGCTCCTCGCCAGGGCACCTCATCAGGGCCAGGTAGGCATTGATGCGGATCTCAGCATCCTCCTCGGGGCTTTGGTACACGCGGGAGAGCACGGATCGCTGGCTCGGGCAGAGGGAAAGTCATCACCCAGGAGCTCGATGTCCCCACATCTTCCCTGGCTCCAGCAGGTGACCCTGCTGCCTGGCCCCAGGTCTCCCGATGTCTCCACTGCTCCCTGACACTCTCACCTGTGGCCCAGTTGCAGGAGGTGGTAGGTTCCCCAGTCACTGCTAATTCCCATCCTCTCACAGCCCAGCCCAGAGCCTGTCAACTTCCATACAGAACAGGTAGCAAACGGGCATGGTTGCATTCCAATAAAACTTTATTTACAAAACAGCCTGCCTGCCACACAGGACGTATTTCCTCTAAAGGTATTCCTTGGTACCTCCTTCCCTTAGCAAGCCACCTCCCCTACCATGTGACTCTGTCCCTCAGCACCTGTTGGTTTCCTCCACAGCGCAGCCAGCCACCCAGCCAGTCCTGCAGTGGTGATTACTGAGCACCTGCCACGTGTCCGGCACGATGCTACGTGCTGGGCGACAGCCGTGGGCAAGACAAACCCAGCTCTCGTCCACCCGAAGCTGACATCTCAGTGCAGGGAGACAGTAAACAAGGCTAGTATGTGAAATATAGAACATGTGAGCTGGTGATAAACGCTCAAGACGGAAAAATAAAATAAGGAAGCAGGAGACATGCGGGACCTGAAAGGCTTAATTTCAGGTAAAATTCAGCCAACAAGGACACTCCCACTAAAGTGATTTCTAAGCAAAGGCCTTCAGGAGGGAAAGGAATGAAGCCTGGGGATATCCAGGGGAAAGAAATTCCAGGAAGGGAGAACTACATATGCAAATGGCCTGAGGCCAAAGTCAGTCACGAGCGTGTATGTGTGTGTGCGTGCGTGCGTCTCTGTCTGAGAAACAACAGGGAGACCAGCATGGCTGGTGAGGAGTGGGCTGGGGGGGTGAGGAAAGTAGGAGATGAAGCCACGAGGCGCTAGCGGGTCAGTGGCCAGCTCACATGGAGCCTGGCACGTGCGCCCTGTAACAGCTCACTGTAACGGCTCTGGCTTTGACTCAAAATGAGAGGGGAGCTGCTAGTCCAGAGTTAGCAAGCTTTTCCTGTAAAGGAAAAGGTAATAAATTTTGTTGGCTTTGCAGGCCATGTAGTCTCTCTTGCAAATACTCTGCAGTTGTAGCAAGAAAGCAGCCCCAGACCACACATAAATGAACAGGCACAGCTGTGTTCCAACAAAACTTGACATACAAGAACAGGGAGTCAGCTGGGCGTAGACTGTGGACCATAGCTTGCCAACCCCTGAACCAGAGGATCTGCAGCACAGGATGGCTTACGTGGCGTCTGTTTGTAATTATATGCTTAGTTGTGTGTTTGTTTGATGACTACCTGCCACCCACAGCAGACACCGGCTCTGTGAGTACAGAGACCTGGACACCCATTCACGTGAGTGCCTAGCCCAGCGCCCAGCACACAGAAGGCACTCAGTAACAGGTGATGAGCAAACGAAGACGTGTATCAACGTCAAACCCACTCCCACCTGACACCAACCCCAGTGAACTAACATGTAGGAACTCACATCCACAGAGCAGGGAACCCTCCGGAAGGCCTGGATGGCCCCCAGCCGGATCTCAGCGGGGCAGCTCCTCAGGGATGCACAAGCGCTCAGCTTGGGGGTGAGAGCTGTGGCTGCCAGGCCGGCGTTGCCAATGGCCTTGAGCACGATCTGGAGCTGAAACAACATGGCCATGGGGCTTTGAGGCTCCCAGCCCACTCCACAGGGGCCATGCCCAGGATGCAGACTGTCCTCACCTGCTCAGTGTCCGAGGGCTCCTGGAAGGTGCAGTCGGCTCCTAAGGCGTCTCCCAGGATCTTCACAAGGGAGTTGACACCAGGCAGCTGCCCGCAGGGCCCGTCCAGAGACACACAGAGGTTGTGCACAAGAGCTGAGATGCCCAGGAAGGCGCCTGGGCTGGCCCCCGGGGTCTGCAGCAGTGGCTGGTGACAGAAATTTGCTCTGAGTAATTAGAGAGTTTGTCTTTTACGGATGTGGCCTTGGGTCCAATCTGAAAGAACCTAAATGGAAGGACGTGGCCAGTATTGGGGTGAACAGTTAGCCACTGCCCAGCCCAGTTACCCACCCAGGAAATATAAGAGCCCATCTGTATAGCGCTTGCCAATTTCCACGGTGTAAATGCTCCCACCCTGGTTGATTTCAGCTGAGTCACTGCAAGGGAGCTGGGACGAGACAGGGAGTCAGCAGCAAGCACATATCCCGTGACAGGTCCACACACGACACAAGCAAGGTAAGGAAGCCCAAAGGCGTGGACGTGGTATGGTGTAGTGAGAGCATAAGGAATTAAACATCTCTTACTTTTGTTTTAATACGATCTCTCGAATTGCAAACTTGGATCACGTAATTTTTAATAATAGCTGTGTTTATCAAGCAGCTTGAGACCTGCCTGAAAGTCAAGACTGTCTCTTTCCTCACCCTACCCTGACGCAATGCTGGGGCCCCTGGGGTCTGATTCCCCGAGGAGCAGGAGGAGACCCAGGCCTCCTCTGGGGATCAGACTGCCCTACTTGACCAGTTCAACCAGGCTCCTCTCTCCCAGGGGCCTCACAGTGGCACAACTCGGGCCAGGACAAGTCAGATAAGGGTCATTTCAGCTGCTCAGCAGACCTCCACCCAGACACTCAGCCACTCTCATTCCAGGCTACAGAAGCCTTCAGCCGAGAGGACGGCAAAAGTGGGGGGCCCAGGGGACTCAGGACAGAGGAGCACTGGTTCCAGGCCTCAGAGTCAGGGGAAGAAGAAAAATGTATTTTATTTAGTAAACACTTCCGCAGCACTCCCTATGCACCAGGCTCTGCTGTTAACAGGGCACGCATGTTACTTGCTTAGATCCTGAGACACAGAGAGGTTAAGTAACTGGCCTAAGATCACCCAGCCAGAAAGAGGTGAAGCCAAAACTTGCCCCTGCAGAGTCTGGCTCTCAGTCTGGGCATTACCCTTATACTTGCTGCTTCTCAAAATACATGTTCCGGGCTCACTCGTGAAAACCAGGCCTGGGCACTGGGCAACAGGGAGTGGCCTCTATTATCCCTACACACTATAGCAGGGACCGCCTGGCAGCCCAGGGAAATACAACCCCTGAACCAGCTCTGTTCTTCCCTGCGACTCGTGGTCTTAACCAGGTCAGTGTGCCCATGCGAGGGTGCCTGGCTCGAGCATCTGCATGTGTGCATCTCGGGGGATGTGTGTTTTAGCACCTGGGTGTTTGTGTGTTCCTGTGTGGGTGTGCACGTGTCTCAGTGTACACACGTGTCCTGGTGCGCATGTCCCCATGCATGTGCGCGTGTGTGCGCACACCTGAGCATAGCCTGATGTGTGTGCGCACATGTGCACTGATATGGGTGCATCTCCGAGTGTACACGTGCAGGTCCCAGTATGTGAATACACATGTCCCAGTGTACCCTAGAGGTGTGTGTCCAGATGTCGGTCGCTATCCCCACTTGTCCCTGTGTGTGTGTATGTGTGTGTGTGTGTGTGCGCGTGCACATGTGTAGCATGTCTGTGTGAGTGCATCTGCATGTCCAGGTACACGTATGAGTCTTGGTGTGTATGTCTTAACATGTGGGTGCATGTCCCCACCTGTTCCCACGTGGGCGTCCTCAGGGTCTCTCTATGTGAGTCGGTGTGTGTGTGTTTTCTTTGTGGAAGGAGGGGGGGACGTGTGGCTTGGAAAAGCACATTCGCTGTTATTCCAGATTTGGCAAATGAAAACAAACTCTGTTTTCTTAGTACAGTGGAGGAAAATCAGGGCCCAGCAGGGAGGGCAGGGGTTATGAAAAGATGGAGAGAAGCCACTCGGACCCACAGGAGGAGGGTTCCTGCCTGCTGGAGGTCTTTGCCTCTGCCCACTCTGCCCCAGGCAAGGAGGCAGGCCAGGATCAGGTCCTCCCAGGGCCTGAAGATGGAGCCAGATGCCTAGGAGGGCCCTGTGGGGATGGCGGGGTGGCTGGAGCCACTGGGGTCCCTGGAAGCCAGGCCCCTGCTGGGAGCCGCAGGGCCAGGACAGCTGGGTCAACCTGAGGCCTGGGCTCTGGGAGGATCCAAACAGTAACAACCCTGTTCATTTGCTGGCTCCCCTGGGGTGCTGCCCAGAACTGCCAGCCGCCTTGGATTCCACAAGAATCAGAACACCAGATGTGAATGCCAAAACCTCTCGCTTAAAAAGGTTTGGTTACACTTTAATTAAAAATGCTCAAAATGTTCCCTTTCTCTTTTTTTTATTTTTAAAGGTGGAGAGATAAAATTATCCTCAAGCCTGTGACCCTCATTCGACAGATTTCACTTTTCCAAAGTGACCTTAATGCTCACTCATCCTGCCCCAAACCCAGTTCTTCATCTCCAGACCAACACTCCCTGAAAGGTCAAACAATCAAGATGGTAGAAAAAACACAGGAAGCACCATGACCTTGGGGAGGTGAAGCGCTTCCCGGAAAAGACTGCCAAGCTGGACTTCACCAAAACGAAGAACTTCTGCGCATCAAAAGACACCATTAAGAGAATACAGTCCAGCAATGGACCAGACCAAGGTCCTAACACACACACGCACACGCGGCATAGACAAGTCTCGCAGAGAACGTGGGAGAAAGAAGCCAGACTCTAGACGCACACGAGCCCAGGGTATGAATGTCAAACACAAGCAAAACCTAGCGATGGCCTTCTAGTTGGGGTCGCCAACTAGAAGGGGCACAGGGGTGCCTTCTGAGAGCCAGAAATGTCTACATCATGTTCTGCGGGTGGTTACACAGGTGAACACGAGTATAAAAACATCAAACTGGATACTTCGGAGTAGTACAATCTCCTGAATGTATCATTTTAAACGTAATTAAAAATACACACCCTCTAACTGCAATGTGGGACTCTGGGTGGGACGCTGGAAAAGACAAAGACATTAGTGGGAAAAACAGTGGGATCTGAACAGCTTTAGTTCGGTTAATTGTAAGGTACCAATGTCAGTTTCTCAGTTGTGACAAATACTTTCTGGTGACATAAGAAGTTATTAATGGGGGAGCGGTGAGGGGTATGCAGGAACTCTTTGCACTATCTTTGCAACTTTTCTGTCAGTTTAAAATTACTCTAAAGTTAAAAGTGCATGAAAATAATCTCTTGCCTTCCTCCCTCCTTCCCCTCTTGTCTCCCCCTCCCTCTTTTCCTCCCTCCTGCCCTCACCCTTTAGGCTGCACACAGCAAGCCCACATCCCGGCACATGCCCAGCACAGCACACAAGCACCCTTGTGACTGGACGAGAGAACAAGCAAATACAGGCCAGAGCAGTGCAAGCCCTGGTCTAGCGGGACCAGATCCTGAGGGAGGCAGGTGAGGGCAGGTCCTGCTCTGCTTACAGCGTGTCCTTGACAAGTGGTCAGAGCAGCGACACCAGCCGCGTGCATCACACTTGGCCCATGTCATAACGGCTGTCAGTCCGCACGCTCACCCTACAAATGACCCCCACTGCACAGATGGGAACCGAGGTGCAGGACAGGGAAACACCTTGCCAGAGGTCATGCTGGTATGGGACAGGGCTGGGAACTGAAGCGGGGAGATGGAGAACCAGAGTCTGCCCTTTCAGCTACCGCCTGCATGCCGAACAAAGGAGCAAGAGAAAGGAAAGAAGGAAAAGGGAGCCTGGCCCTGCCCAGCACCAGCTGAGACCTGGCAGGCCCTGCCTGGCACTAGCATCCTTGTGGTCAGAATGTCACTACTAGACCATGAGCTCTGGTCCCTTGAGGCACTGGAACAAAGCTGGGAGGAGACCAGGTCCCTCCCCCAACTCCCCATTGCATCCAATCAGTAGTCGAGCAGGGGAGAGACGATGCGGGGCCGGGGCGGGGCACAGGAGCTCACCAGCAGCACTTGGACCATGGCATCTGTGGGCTGCGGGAGGAAAGCCAGCAACCAGAGCCACGCCTCTGTCTCCTCAGCCTCCACCTCCCCAGATACGATGAGCTCTGCCATGAGTCCCACGCAGGCTTCGGTGCCACAGGAGGGCAGGGCATCCACCAGCGGTTGCCTGAGATGGAGAGAGACCCAAGGAACCTCACGATGGTGAGCCACACACCCCAGGCGCCTTCCAAGACTCCTCTCGAGTAGCCACAGGTCATCTGAGAGCAACGGAGGCTCAGAGAGGCACAGCAGGGACGTGTCCAGGATCACACACTCCGGAAGGGGCCGAGCTGGGCCTGGGCCCCAGGCAGCCTGGCCCGGGACCGGTGCTCTTAGGGCCTATGCGGACACCAGCAGCGCAGTCTAAACCCTGGCAGTTCTGCTCCCCCAGGAGGCACAGCACTTTGGGGCAACATAGTGCCTGCCCAGTGCTCTCCCGAGACCAACCATAGTCACTGCGTAGGGTGAGACCCCTTGTGTAACACAGGAACCAGCAACTGGCAGGCTGCCCCCAATTAAACCTCTAACGCTTTCAGTCCAA